ATTGGCCTCTGAACCAATATTTCATCTCTAATATGCCTATCTAGCAGTTTTTCCAAAGTCTTAAGTACAAAGAACATAAGACTTATTGGTCTTAGGGACTTTGCCACTTCCTGTCCCATTTTCCCAGGTTTTGGTATAAAAGTTACCCTAATATTTCTCCAAGCTTTTGGTAAGTTAAATCTTACTCAACAAAGTCGAACGAAAACGTCGTACTATTAGTTTCTCTACTATTAAAAAGTTGTATATCAGTTATAAAAATTTAAGTTATTTACTTGTCGTCTACGTGTGTTTTGTAATGTTTTAACTAATTATACTAATTATAACATTTTATAACTTTGTGTGTTACTTGGGTTTCGCTCAGAGTTTTGTAGAAGTTCAGCTGGTTATAATAAATATTTATTAATTCTTCAAACTGATTTTCTAACCATTTCTTTTCATCCATTGTGCGCGATATATTATACGACAGTTACGACACTAATCACAAAAGTAGTTTACTATTCAACTTTCTCAACTTCTATAAGACGAGTCGGAAATGATAACTTATAAATAAGAAGTGTGTTTATATTAGTTCTCAAATAAGTGTCGATACATGTTGGCAAACACTTCATATCTCCGACAAATTTTTGTATGTTTACACTGGACTAAACAACTATCAGACATAAATCTCTCGCAATAAATATCAGATGTAAATGTACCTTAAGGATTAAAACAATGTTAATTTTCTAACAATAGTTACAACATTGTCTGCATTTAAATAATTTAAATTTTAAATGTCTCGTTTCTCAATCAAAATATATTCAATATCTTTTCATTTTTAAATAAACTAACAATTTTTTAACATTTATTTATGGCCCACTATCCTTAATATACTATGTGTAAATTATTAGTGCGCCTAGAGCAAGGTTACATAGGTTTATTGTCAAAATTAAATAATTATTTATGTTGTAATAATTAAGTCTTTGAGAAGTTTGACCTGATGCCTTTCACTAATAGCTAGAAATAGTAACCAAATAATTTGTTACAATAATTAAAAAAATGTATTACGAAAATTATTAATTAAAATGCAAATACTATGGGATTATGTATATATTATAGGGGTTCATGTCTTAGTAAGATATATTATTTCAAAATATTAACATGGTAATATTATTAATTTTATTATACATTACGGCTAGATAATTCAATTATAGCCAAAAAATTAATTTCTGAAAAATTCAAATCAAATCCAACACACAAATTTTAGAACTAATATTACTAAATAATTTTCAGATAAAAGTATTATAGGAGAAGAAGGAGAAAAGAACCTGCTATAATTTATTTTAGTTTGAATAGTCTTAAATATACGGTCTATCAGATATTGATAGGTTTAGATGCCCCATTTTTACATAAGCCTCAAAGAGGTAGAATGGAAAGAAATTTACCAGTGGCGCTTGGGGATAACATGAAAAATTCTATTTTCCCTAACAGAATTTAGGAGGTATTTGTTGCGCATATTTTCACGCAAGCCGTGTTTACTAAATTACTAACGAATAATTGAACAAGGCTGCGGAAAACCAAAGGCTCTAATATTGCATTTGCAATATTAGTTCCCTTGTTAGTTTTAGATTCATCCGTATACCATAACGAGACCGCTAAGCAAGTATTTATCTACCTCCCTATTTACCTCGTTCCAGATGCAGCTAAACTGAAAGAGTATGTTAAAGGTTAGGCGGAGTGTCATATGATGATCCAGCCTGTATGCACTCATTCTGGCCTTCTTCTTTATGACTAGGAAGGCGGAAGGTTTGGAATGGTTTCCATGGAGGCTCATGTTGGTGTACTTCTCAGTGCTCCTGTAATACAAAGGCATGCCAGCCTCTTTACTTCTTAGAGGGTATTGAAGGGTGTTTTCTGGTTTACTTTTTTGGCCATCAAACAACCGCTTCCTAAGTTATCATGGGTCTTGTTATTGCCGAATATATCCAGTGGACCATCGGTTTTAATCCCCATGTTTTCCCAAATGCACATCTCCCTAAAATGAGAGACATTTTACATTTGTTGGTCACTTTTATAAGTGTTGGTTCCAAGTAAGAAAGTGCTATCTAGGATTAGACCTAGATATTTTACTAGGTTCGTTCTTTTTAGCCTTCCCCCAAACAGGGTCCGAGTTTCTAAGACCTCCAACCTTGTCTTTTGAGTAAAGGTTATGAGTTGTGCCTTTTCAGGGCTTACCACCACATTTCTGTCAGCCTTACAGCTCTTTGCATGAGTTTGAAGACTGTGATTTGGAATTTCCCTCGGATAAGGATGACTATGTCATCGGCGTATCCTTGGACATACAGCCCTTGATTGTTCAGTGTTATCAGCAGTTCAGCTGCCACTAGGTTCAACAGTACAGGAAAAAGAACTCCACTCTGTGGGCACCCCTTGTATATATTCACCAGCATGGTCCCACTGAACATGTCGTTCGCGGATGGTGTTTTCTATTCCATGTTTCATACTGAGTCCCCCTTCTGTATTGGTTATAAGATGATGCAGAGCAGACTCACAAGATGTCCTGATTGATAGGTATGTTGGTTGGACTTTTTATCAGAGTGGTTTGCCGGACATGCTGATAAATCAGTTTTTCCAATCCTTTCAATAGAAATGACGTCACAGTTATTAGACTGTAGGCTTTTACCACGACATATGTTGGACGCCTTGGTTTAAGTATAAAAACCACTTTGCTTTGTTTCTAGGTATTTGGTACATATTTATGCGACAAACTTGCCTTGTAGATGCGGGGCCAGTATTTCTATTGCCTGTTGTAGAAGCATAAGCAATACCCCATCTGTTTTAAGTTTTAAGAATACGCATAGTTATTGAAGCAACTAAATTCCGACTTTCTCAATATAAACATCGGGCGTAGAAGGGAGTTAGACTCTCGAGGCACTTTCGTGACTTTGGCATTGATAACTTTTAAGAATTAGCACGTGTGCTAAAGAATATTGCCAAATTTGTACATTTGTGGTTTTGGCATTGTACCGACGATATATAGTTATAAATTCTTAAACGGACGTGTGAGTAGTTTTTTATCTGCATTCAAACAATTAGGTGGTCTTTAGATATGTTTTTAGTTTAATAGCCATAATAATAATAATAATAATATTTTTATGTTAATGTATTTTACTAAGTTTTGCAAAACGTTAGTCGGTGTTACGGAAGTTTATTAAATAAACTGATCACGGTAGGAGACTATCTCGGAAACGCCTTATCTGATTTTTAAAAATGAAAAAGATTCTGAAAGCTCATTATTTCTTGTACCAATGGCTTGATGTGATCTTTAGTAAAAAGTCATTTTTCAGTGTTGTGCAGGGTGTGAAAGAATACAATGTAAAAATGTAAATTTTTAACTGCCTGCACCTGTTGCAATAGTAGTTTCAGAACTTTTATCGTAATCACATTTAGAACTTTTGGTCGATATCTCGGGACATATTTGACAGCTTTTTGTATTTTTTTGTTAAAAAAAAAAACTTACAAGGTATTTTCAATAAGTCCGCATTTTTAAAAATACAAAAATTATTATTCTCTAGGAGCTCTTTCATTTGTTGTGAAATTTCTGTGGATCTTATTATCTAGCTTTTATTAGAAGTGCCATGATTTTAGCTCCTTCTAAATTATCCTTCAGAATGTGACTCTTGATGCCGGCTATTAATTTAAGTTCTCATTGCTGGGATCTGGTGAAATTTGCCATCCATTGAACACTTTTATATGCTTAGTAGGCTATGGGAAAAAGCAGATTAACAAAAACCATGAAAACAAAGCTCAAAATAATGACAGTAATTGTCATCTGAATAATTGTAACCTTACAATCTTTTTTATTAAAAGAATGAGCGCTACATTGGAGAAAATATGGAAGCTAGAGTGCCGTTTAGAGGAGAAAGTGTAACTGTATGGGGTGGGGTAATAAGAAATGGCAAAACTGATTTGGTAGTTTTGATTGGACAAAGTATGAGTGGCGTTAGGTATCGTGATTTGTGTGTGAATGAGATTTTCGTTCCCTTTGCTCAAAACTTTGGCGAAGATTTTATTCTGGTAGACAATAATGCTCGTCCACACAGGGCTCGAATTTTCCAAGAATGTCTCAGAGAGAATGGTATCGAGCGAATTAATTGGCCTGTTAGGTCGTGGGATATGAATGTAATTGAACACGTGTGGAGCAGAATGAAACTAAAACTAAAAGAGAGTAAGAATTACAAAATTTGGAAGAATTGGCATTTGCAGTTAGAGAGATCTGGAAAGCTATTCCTTAAGAGTTTATTACAAACTTGGTGGACAATATGCCGAGGAGAACAGCAGAACTTTTGCGAGTACGAGGTGGGCTTACACGATACTAAATTATTAGTTAATATTGTTTTTCTTTGTTTTTTTTTAACATTTTACTGTAAGCTGTTTTTTGAAATATCGGCTTTTGGGACACCCCATATGCTAAGGGTAGGTTAGGTTACCTTTTTCAAATTTGTGTTTCGTGCCGTTCTATTGAAGTAAAATAAACTTAATTATACTGAAATTGTAATATTAAAAAATGCGGACTTTTTAATAGTACCCTGTAACTTTTTTTCTTAACAAAAAAATACAAAACTGTCAAATACGTCCCGAGATATTGACCAAAATTTCTTAATGTGATTACCATGAAAGTTATGAAATTACTATTGCAACAGGTGTAGGAGTTAAAAATTTACATTTTTACATTGTTTTCTTTCACACCCTGTACAATACTGAAAAATAACTTTTACTAAAGATTATATCAAGCCATTGATACAAGAACTAATGAACTTTCAGAATCTTCTTCATTTTTAAAAATCGGATAAGGAATTTTCGAGATACAGTCTCCTACAAATGACGATAAAATTAGCTGTACCGACTAATTCCGTGAGCAGTTTAATATTTTAACGTTTCTTTTCCATAAAATTTTGTTATCTTTCAAAAATCCTTGTTTTTGCTGAATTCTTACTCAATATTTTTTTCTTTTTTTGTTACAGGTATAGCAATGAAAATTAGACTACTATAGGATTTTGAATGCACTAAAAATTCAAAAACGATTTCGTATAACCCTCTAATAACTTTTGTTTATCTTCATACAACAAAAATGATAACGACAATTACAAAAACTCAACTAGAAGATGCAAATATTGCAAATGATATTGCAAATAATATTGCAAACCTTAGTAATGGATCGACCCTTTGTAATAACAATGAAGTACAGAAAGTAAAATTTTCAAGAGGAAATCCTATACCAAGTTACGAAAAATACAAGTTTCTTATTTGGGAATTTGACAGACCTGTGATATGGACCGGCGTATTCTTCATAGCATTGTGGCATGTAATAGCACTTTATAGTCTAGTTACCTTTCCGTTATTTTCTCATATTCCACTTGCATTATATGGTAAGTAATTTTTAACAAATTTTCTTATTTTTAGAATTAGGTATTACACGCTTTAACACTTTTATTAATTCAAAAGGTTTTTATTGATTCTTATTCATATAATAATTCTTCTAGTTTTGCGGAAAAATGATGTTTTTAATATTTAAACATGTTTTGTATTTTTAAGCAGAATTTTCTGCATGTTTTGAATGATATTGAACAGATTTTTAATGCTCTTTTACGATTTTTCATTATTTTCGTGGTTATAATATACATGATAACCTAATGGTTAAATAAAGTTCAATACATTTTTCTGGATGTCAAGAAGTAAACTTTTGGTCTAATATGCGTTAGGCATTGAAACTTTTCTAGGTCTGGCATCTATGGAATTTATTTTGTAACTAAATGTAATTTTTATCTAGAATAGAATACCTGAAATATAATTTTGATGGCATGGCTCAGTTTTAAAATTAAACAATATACACAACATGATGAAGAATACAATGTTTTATTACACTTATTGACAAAACACCTACACCTTTCCAAACCATATCTACCGAAGCCTAAACCAAAACCATACCAAAAACCATAAAAACCACTTTGTTATACTTGCATTCAAACATCAAAAATGGGTAAAACTTAAGAAAAATTAATATTAGTTTTATTTTTTATTTGGATAGTATGTCTGTTTTTTAATTTTTCGTTTTTTTTTTAATGCCCTGACAGTTTTCTTGTTCCAAAACCATTCTATTTCTACATTTTTGGAAATCAGTATCTAGCAAATAAATTTTCATCTAAACTTCTACCAAAGCTACAAATGTCTTGTAATGCAATCTACAAATTATATAGTATGTAATAAAAACACAAATTATATTTTGACATAACTACTTCTCACCTTTCTTAAAAATTAATTATTGAATTATTAACTTCCATTTTCGAACTCTCCTGAATAAAGTGGGTCACATCATCTTGATAATTTAACTGACTAATTGTAGGCTCTTCAACACACAAAACATCATCCTCCCTCATCCTCTCCAGTATTTAAGGAACCTAAAACAGACTCGCTTCTCTCCTCAAACAAAGCTACAGCATGTATATGTTTGCACAGTACTGGAAATCCCATATTACGAGTTATCTCATCCTTAATAAGAAGTATTGGAAGATCCATATTTCTTCGGTTTGTTCCATGTGTTCCATCAATACAAATAATCCTTTTAAAGTCTCTTAATTTTTTTTCCATAACACCATTCATACAACCCACTGCAAAATCTTCATCCTTTAATTCAGGGTAATTTTCACCTGAAAATAAAAACCCAACTTTTACCTGCACCATCTAAACCTTAACCTTATAAAAATTGCATATTTTTAAATGTATTTTTATGTACATACCAATTCTTTTGAATAAAAATGCATGGTTTTTCATTGCCTGTTCCATTCTTCAATGTTCAAAGTAGTAGCTGTCATATCATCAGCGTCCCTAGTTTGTCAATATTATACTCTCATTATCAAGTTTATTCTTTCTATTGTATTATTTTCAATTTTTCTGCCATCTTGAATTATCCTGTTGTCCAACTACAATATTTTCTTCAGCCTTTGACAGTCTCTTGTTCTTAGCTCATCTGCATGTCCGACATGAGTTTCAAAAAATTTTACTTGAACTGATCCTAATAAAAAATCTTCAATAAACCTATATGTACAATTTTAGAAGCTTTCGGAAGTAGTTCTTCTAATATAAATAAATATAATATAAACAAGCGAAGCTTTATTCAGTATAAGAATCACTATAGCAAGCATTGTCCATAACAATAACAAGTTGAAGACTCAGTTAAATTAATTGGTTCTCGAACCACTTTAAACAATTTGCTTCATTCATTTCCCCATGATAGTCGTGAGAGTTGCTATTTTATGAAAACAGCTCATCTGTCCCATCAATAAAACCATTTTCGTTACCAGCATGAAGAACAATGAATCGTTTTCCATCAACTACTCTTGTTTGTACGCTCCTTATGTCGTTATTTTGCCAAGGGCGGTTTACTGTGCCATTTTGAAAATCCATGTTTCATTCAGATAAACATTTTTATATAGAGACAAATTTTTTGTGTAACATTAGAATACTTAATATTTTACTGGCAACATGGACAAGTTCCATAATACCCCGCCGGGATCATCTTTCTTCCATTTAAATCCTATATTGGTTAACACTGTATACAATGATATTTTGCATTAAAGTTTCATGTAAGAGTTACTTGTTGTCTCTTTTTCTACATATCGTAAATGTAGTCAGGATTGAAAATTTCGGTTGCAGGTTTGACATATGGTCGTCTTTTTGGAGAATAATTTAAAATATTGTTATTCTTTAATTCTAATCAACATTTCTGTTCCTAAAGTGGCGCTAGGAAACAGTAACAATGTCTTTATGTAGGGGTGCAGGAGTATTAGACTACTAGCACTCCTGCACTATGGAGTATTGGACTACTAGAACACGAGGCTTTAATACTTTAATATTTATATTACAGTATTTAGTTCCTTATTTAGTCAACGCTTAATCAGTCTTGAAATCTTAAAATTACTTATACTGTAGTAGACAATTTACAGCTTCACAAATTACTAAATTTTAATGATAAATACAAGCATCTTTAATTAATACTTTTAGTTATAATCTATAGTAGTATAGTAGATAGCATTATTTCACAGTATAGCTTTGTATTTAATAAGCACAAAGTATCTCATAATTGTAATTTGAAGCGAATCAAGCAATAATTTATACAATAATATTATAAAAATAATAATGCTTCACCTTCACCCCTTACGAGTGAATTTAACCCCAAAAGCTGAGTAATTTAAAATGGGTATTCACTTTTTCCAATAATTTCATCATTTGTAAGTTTGGATCAAAACTTTGTACAAAAGTCAATATCGATGTTTTTGTTATTATTTGAATTTGTATTAAGTGTAGTTATTATTATCAACATCATACTGTTTTCAAGCACTACAACTATTAATAAATAAATATTTTAGTTAGTGTAATATTTGTTTTGTTTCTAATACGTTAAAAACCATCTATAAACATTACTTAGTAAACTGACTTTTCTTCATAATTTGAGATTATTTTTAAATAAAAAATCAGGTTATGTAAAAAGCATGGCATTGATTTTTGTGTAAAAAATTTAATATGAAACTTTACCTACCATTTTTTAGTTTTTATTGTAAGTTAATCACTTGCACAATTTGTCAAAGGTGTCAAATAAAAAATATATTTTTTAAATACCTTTTATTGGCAAATAAAATAAGAACTAAAATGTTTTAAATGTTTATTTTATAAGATCAGTCCCATCACAATACATAATATTACGCAGACACAAACTAGAATAAAGATATATAATGCCTGGCATTCTAAATGATACTCTTCGCAGTGTAACAGAGCCCCTTAACCCTCATTTTCAATAGGCCTCAACTCATTATAGAGCTTGATTTTTACTAAAATTTCATGTTGATATCGCTATTCATTTTTAATTTTTTTTTAATTTCAGCCCCCCTTAAATCCCCCATATTTAATCAGATTTTTTTTATAATTAAATTTCAAGTTTATATCATTTTTCTTTTTTCAGTTTTTTTATATTTTAACCCCCCTTAACTCCCCAATATATTCATATGTAGAGCATGTAGATATGTGGGATGTATTTTGATACTTATTTCGAGACTTTTTTCGAGACATTCTTTATTACCAACTATAAACTAATTTACCAATAGCCTTATTTTTATTTAATACCTGTAGTGATTCAAATTACCATAACATCTAATATTTTTGAAAATACTAAATTATACAAAAAAGGCAATAAAAAAAATGTCATTAAAATAAAAGATTTCTGGTTTGTATGCAACAAACGATTTTGGTTAGAGGGTAACACGATTGATAATTGCAGGCAAACATAACTTTATATAGGTAAACTATTTAAATGTACATACCATTTCTTAGGTAAAATTTCTCATCGAGTATATTAAATTAACTGGTTAATCCATTTTTCCGATTTAGACTTTTAAAGTGAAAAACCATTTATCTCTTTATCTTTATCAAATTTTTATTGTACATTTCCATTTCCATAATGATGTCAAGTAGTTACCTCATCAGAATAATAAAATTTTTCCTTATAGAGGGTTTTGTGGGAAAAAAATTACAAATTTTTTGCTTACTTCTTACTTCATAGTATTTACAATTGGGTACAAAATAGACCATTTTGAATTAGTCTTTGGATGGTTTTAGGTACTGAAACAAAATGTAAGACAAATTACAGTCGTAAATCTTTATTATATGTAAACAACATAACCTTAAAAAGTTTTTATTTACCTTGCCTTTTTCGGGAACAATCGTTAAATTGACATACATCCTTCCAATTTATTAAAGTTGCAGTTCTCAATTAAACACATTTTTTAAATGATCACAAATAATAAAATAATCTTAATTTTATTAAAACCGTTTCAAAATGAAGGAAAACGAAATGACAGTTTGTTTTATTTGGTACAGTGTTGCCAGAATATGTTTTTGTTATGTACCAGATTTGTCTAAAAAATGTACGAGATTTCTTAAATGTATCAGATTTTTCGAATTCGATTTGCAGTGACATCTAATTCATTGACGGGGAAAAAGGGGGTCTTTATTGATAACGAACCCAATCAAGGAACACAATATATATTTTTTACACGTGAACACGCAGAATGTACTACATCTAGTACAATTCTGAATTGTACTAGACTGACAACACTGGTTTGACAACTTTGTTTCTGAGCGGCGCGCCAATTAATGTGTTCTTTGACAGTTTGAAGAATCTGTTGGCGTGTTTTCTTCTCTTTTTAGCTAGAGGCATTCACCATATCGTCTCACTCGTGTTAGGCTCACTCATCATAATGCGCCACAGACACAGTATACTTAGGTATACTGTGCCACAGAGATGCAATCAACCAGAGGACAATGATGTACCAAAAAATATAGATTAACACGTATGAAAATAAAAATAATAAAATTC